CCCAATTATTCAGATTTAACAGCTCCTCGTCTACGAATCGTACAGCACGGATGCGCCGTCCGCTCTCGCTGCCGAATAATCGGTTTCAACGATCCTCCACGTATCCGGGAAGTGTGTGCTTCATTTTCACGCAGGTATCTCCGACTCGTGGTACGACGATGTTAGGTTCTCGTCGAGTCTTCCTTCGCGATGATCCTCGCTAGTTTCCAACGCGTTCGGATCCCTCCTCCGTTTGGGAACCGACTGTAAAGCTCGAACGGCAGCCGTGTCCAAAGATGAACGACTCCTCTCTGGTAACTTCGCGAAAAAAAAAAAAGAAAAAACGCCGACAGATGGTTTCTCCGATGTGCGATTCCCTGGCGACGCAGGGCGGTACACAAACGCGAGGGACGAATAGAAAGAAACGATCGCTCGATTTTTATTGTATTCGCAGCGACACGCTCGCATCGACATGCTGCACGTAACTCGGCAGGAAGATAAAAATAGGCGACTATCGAAATCAAACGCGCCTCTCGAGGGCTCTGAACGAGGCAAGCTCGAATCCTAGGGAGACCCGAAGCTTCTATGCTCACGAGCGTGCCTCGGGCCGCGAGCACGCTTCCTTTGCTCTTTAATTTTCATTTTGTACATTGTCCTCTTCTCGAAAGGGAAGTAAACGGATAAGTCTCGATAGAAATCTCGATTGGCGTACGAGTCGTTCGACTGTTGTCTTCGCTATTGCGGGTTCCTTGGCGAGAACGTTGACCGTCCTTCTCTTGTGTTCTCGTGTCAACGACTTTGTGTGTTCTTCGTCGATAGACTTCTGCTCGTCCTCCAATGGTTCCTCTCCCGTTTCCTTTCTCTCTTTACACGTGTGTGATTTCGTTATCGGATACTACCCACGCACGCACGCCCCCTCGTTTTTCGTTCCTTTGCTTGTTCCTTCTCCTTTTTTCTCTGCCCCCCCCCCCCCCCTGTCGCACGACAACGGCCAGCACGAATTTCTACCGAGCCGAAGATCGAGGTAGATACATCTCCTTCTGAAAGTTGGTCGAGGGTCGAGGGTGTGTCGAAGAAGTACGCGCGTTTCGCGTCTCCCTTCTCCACCCCTTCTCTTCTGGCTTCTGTCACGGGGTACTTAAACAGGGCCCGGAAGCAGCCAAGGGGCCGTTGCTAGATATTAATTGATTCCTAAGGCCACCAGAGTGATTATCTCCTTACAGTCGTTAACTAACGTTTAAACAGTTTTTGTTCGATTCTCTCACACGTTTTTTTTTTTTTTTTTTTTTTTTTTTATTTGCTTTACTTTAACGCGTCGAGTTATTCGTACGTAAAATCCTCGTCGTCGTCGTCGTCGTCGTTTTGCGTCATTGATCTCCACTTCGCCGTGTTCTTTATTTTTTTTTTATTTTTCTTTTTTTTAAATATTTTTCTCCGCCACTTTAATTCAACTCCGCAGTCTACGATTGGTCTTGCACGACGGTCAACGATATAAAACGCATCCACGGTGAGGCACTTTTGAGGCCCAAGCCTAGCTCTTCCGAGTCCGACGAGTGTGTGTCGCCATGATAACCAGGCACTCGTGGCAGGATACGACCCCAAACGTTTGAGTTAATTTGGTATCGATAGGCAACAAGAATATCCTTTCTTTCATCGCTATCCACGACTACTATATATTTACCTAACGGCCGATGGATTTAGGCTAAATAAATTAGAATGTATGTATTCCACTTTTTCATCTTCGTGCACTCTCACGTCTCCAATGTTTGTCCGTTGCTCGTCCCTCCTCCTCGTCCGCGTACGCGAACTCCTGGAGCTCGTCACGGACGCGTCCGTGATCGGTTTCTTCTCCGACGATGTTCTCGTGGTCTCGGGACACGTCTTACTCCGGTTTTCCTCTGGACACGTTCAGGTTCCGGTTTCTCTCGCCAGGCTCCTCCCCACACAGACCAGGAAGCACAATCGTCCTGATACAGGACTCATCCCTAACTCGTTCTCTGGCTTAGTCGTCGCTGCATCGTCGCGCTTGTCCTCGATCACCGTGATCGACATTATCACGAGTTCTTCACCGGTTTCCGGCGCTGCTTGACCCGCGTCAACGGGGGCGTTCCGCCGCTCACCGCCGCGTACAGGGCCAGGCTCACCTCGTCCGGATTGGTAGCTGACACTTTGCGTATGTCGACGTTGTCGGTGCTTTGTAATTCGGTCTCGAGCACCCACTCGTCCGGCTTGCTGTTGGAAAAATGGGAATTAACGATTGTAGAAAAGGTCAGGCGTTGTGGGAGGAAGAACTTGGGCTACTTACATATCGGCAGGGTGCCACCGCAACAGGACTCTAGTCTTCCCATCCAATTCCACTCTTCGGGCTAATACCTGCAGACAGAAACGTAAACACGATTGCGATTAACGATGCCTTCCCAGGTCACGTTTGGTGGAGAAAGCATTGGCCATTGGAGGTTACTTTCTCGACTCTCACTGTTACAGTGTCGACTAGTTCCTGTGTTTGTTTTGCTAGTGACTAATGGCAGAGACTAACAATCACGTAGATCTCTCTGCCTAGGTTCAACTTGTAACTTCAAATGGCCAATTTTGCCCACCTTTAAATATTCCACGGCAATTTCCTTCGACTTACTCGACTAGTGAGGGCGATCGAGTTTCCCGGTGTCTCCGCCAGACGGCCTTGCGTCCTCGACTTTGCCAGTTGGAGCAATCTGTGCTGGAGACCTTCCATCACTCCAGTGTCGAAGTAGTCAAAAATTCTCGCTGCAAAGGGAACCAACGCACGATTTAATTAGCATACGATAAGCACTTTTTAAAGAAAGAATGGAAGAAAGTCTCAACGTACACTTACCAGACCAGGGTTGTCGTCTATATCTGAGCCGCTTGCCATTCCTTCTGACCAGCTTTCCGCCGCTCTCGCAGCTTCGTTTGGTGCTGCTGTTGCTGGTTTCAGGTTGATTGAAATGTCCGTTCACGTGCCTCTCCAGAGCAGTCTGAAGAAAAAATACAGGAGATTCTTAGAAGCCTGTATTTCGGCACCTTCCAGGGAAAGCGTGCCGCGTCCGTCGAGGGGGAAAACCATAAGAAAACGACGAAACCGTTCGTCCTCGAGCAGTGACAAAAACGCAGAGAGCCCCGTGCAAAGTACGACATGGACGAAGTCGAATTCTGCTGGTGACGAAGGCAAAATGCGAGCTTCCTAAGCATGAAGCGACGAGAAGGGAAGATTTAAGAAGAAAGTACACACCCTGACGTCTCAGGTGGGGATTTTCGACGAGTGGACAGATTTACAAGCTGTCCCTGGAAAATGCTCGCCATTCGAAGACAATCCGCACTGATTCGAGGATCGTTTACAATCGCGCGACGACGGTTAAGACAGAAGACATTACTCGCATACGCGAAGAACCATTTTCAGGAGTCATGTAACTGAACCGCTGAAGAGAGAACTTCGGTGCTAACGCCGCTGTGCTAGTGGACGACATTCAGAGGAAGTGCCTACGTGTCCTAGCGTTCCTTGGGTCTTAACCGGCACGGATCGACTTAGTTTCTAGTGACGAAAAACCAGGGAGTACGCTTGGTTTAGCGAGAGACTGACGGATACCTGACGCAAGCCAGGAAAAGAGCTCTAACACGATACCTCGACGTCTAACGACGATTTTCTCGTGGTTCGTACATCGACGCTGTGCGATTGACGGGCCAATATCGACAGGATCGGCGCGTAATCCCTCGTTTAAACGTTACAATACTTTACCCAACGTCGAGGACATAGAATGAATAACGTGAAAAAAAAAAAGATCGTCGAGTCATCTGAAGAGGAGACATGATCGTATTCAGCTGAACCACTTAGTGGAAAGAGAAAGAGAGTGTCATATTATTAGTTCACAGTCAATATTCGCTCATCCCGAACAGAGGAATTGTCCGCGGTAGAGGACTTACGTTGTTGGAGTGATTGCTATACCGAATAGTGTCACCCGTTCGCGCACGTTATCACTAATACAACCCAATACCTGTGAGCTAAACCTATTGCCGCAGCCGTCGACGATGCACCGGAAGGGTTTGTTTCCGCCGTGGGATAGTACGTGTCGCTCCAACCATCTCCGCGAACAGGAACTTCTCCCTTGTACTTTGCACCCTTGCCACTGGCAGACAAAATTGTCGCCGCCCGTTTGCGTGTTAATGTGAGCAACCTGAAAAGACGTTATGTTTGTTTCATTACTCGCCAATTCGTCGTTTTGGAGCTACCAGTTACTCGTAACAAGTAATCTAATCACTCCTGCACGTAATTTCTTCTCTCTCTTAGCACCTTTCTTTCCGTTACTTTAGCATCGATAATGTACCTGATATGCAATTGCATCGAAACAGTGTTTGGAAGAAGATGGTACATTTTTAAAAATGAAACTGGTAGCTTACAAAAATTCCAACATTGACCAGCTCCGAGTAAATTTTAACCAAGTGAAGATAATTTCGTCTCCGTACCTGCAGATGTTCCAGAAGTCCTCCGCTGGATTCGAAGCTCTCCTCGCACTTGTCCCATCGACATACTCCGCTGTCGGTGGCCTGTTGCCTGTCCTTTCCAGGTTCCCGTGCTGGGAATCTGATGGTGGTGGGCGCGGAGAGTATTGGGGACAGCGACGGTTTCGATTCGCTGCTCCTCGAGGAGTCCTCCTCTTCCTCGACGTAGGCCTCAACCGCGCGGCTCACCCTCGTCTCCTTGGCCTCGGTGGTGCTTTGTACAGACAGCCTCGAGAGGAAGTCTTGGCTGGACCTCAACGAGCCTAGGAGCTTTCCGCAACCGTTCGTCAGGTTGTTGTTCTCATTGACGTGCGGCTTGGAGGTGATGCAGCCCTTGAAGTCGAGCGGTACCGTCTGGCTGGTCGGTGTGACGGGTGGCATTGGCGTCGGTTGCGCTATCTTCGAGTTGGTGATCGTTTCGGACGTTAACCTAAATGATAACAATGAATTAGTGCATAGGCCTCCGGAATAACCGGGGGCCATACTTCATCCCTTGCTGCCATTGACCTCGCAACAAATAACAATAACTATAATTATATTAGTAACTTGAATATCATTCCATGATGACACATTTAAATCAGAAAGACTAGACGTACGTGTTTAGCCTACCTCGACAGACGCAGTGTCGATGGTTACAGACTTGTATTGGAATTCGCAACATTGATCTGGACGAACAGAGGGTTAAAGTTCCGCGTTTGGCATACCTTGCCGCGCACGGTTACCAACCTTAACGACGAGATTTTGCAGCTGGGTATGTTCTTCAAGACGTCGTTCGAAATCGGCAAACTGGGCACCGGCTTGGTCAACTTCTTGTCCATCTTACCATTAGTCCTCGGAACGATTACCGCTGGCGGCTTCTTCGTAGACGGCGGTGACATCGCCACGGTCCTCATTTCCCAGTCGTTGGTCGAGTTGTTCCGTCCGTTCGACGGAACAGTACCCAGGTACTTCGCTAAACCGCCCTTGTTTCTCTGGACCGTTGGAGGCCTCCTGAACTCCGACGAGCTCTTCGAAACCAGCACAGACATGGCCTCGCTGTTCTTCTTGATCTGTCGACAGACGTTTTCAGTTGAATCGAACATGTTTCAGGAGTCATCGTTGATTTTTTGGATTACTGAACCGAGCAGTGGCTTGAAACGAACAGGGAAAACTTCATTACCACTCTCGGACGCTAGAATTATTGGAAATGTAATTTTCTAAAGCTAACCAAAGCGATCAGCGTTAGCAGCGTTCGTTACAAACCATCGCTCGATGCACCAACTTCTGACGTCAACGACGAGAGCTTCGATTCGGCTCGATACCGTCCGAGGCCCGCAGGAAGAGGCCGCGTCCTTTTTGGAGAGCGTCCCGACGTTTCGCCAGCATTGCAGCTACGCTTGACATCGGAGTCGCAAAAAACAGCCGTCTACCCAACGACTCCAGACGGTATCCGACGCTCCAATCGCAATATACACTCTCAAAATCAACCTTTCTCGACGTTATCGGAGTTGTGAGTCATGCTCCCAAACACTTCGTAAACATCACACTTTATCATCTTCCGTCGTACTTCGAAATCCTTCGAAACTCCGACAACTAGGGCAATCCTGCTGTACCTTTAGGTACATCACCATATTTCATTCTCCGAATCGTTTAAAGTTTTGTATGTGTTACTATTGATATTTGCTGGGTACTTTCAATGTCAACATTTGAAAAGCAAACTATTAGAAGATGTTCTTTCTTGGAAGCGATATCGTTACACGTTTACCTTGCTCGTCTTTCATTCATGTAATGATTTCCTCCTTCAAGAAAAATGACCCTTCGCCTTAACTCCTTAACTGTTACCTTTATCTCCTCAAAAAAAAAAAAAAAAAGGAATACTTTCACTGAAATATCCTAGATGCTTCTACCTGAACACTTTCTATAAACAAAATATGTCTATGCTATTAGGTCGATCGCACACGGCGCAACCGATTTGAAATTAGTGTTGCAAACCGTTTGCGCTCTTTGTTTTACCTAGATCCACGGTCGCATGCAACTAGTTTTAAAGTGGTTTGAAACTGATCGGTTGCGCTCATGTGCAATCGGCCTTAGACATTAATTTCTTGCCAATTTAATATGTCCCTCGCAAATTACCCCTAGCAGAAACGTTCTCTTCCATTCCAACCCTGAAGGTCCCAACGATCTAAGTATGAACGTGGACGTTACCTTGGGTTGCTGTGGTTTGATCTGTGTTTTGAAGTACTCAGTGATCTTCCCTTGCGTCTCGTGATGATGAGCGACGTTGGACTTGTTGGATTTGGTGGTACCTCTGGAGGTTGGATCGGCGGCCCCGGACCTCGGCAAGGCGCCAGCCTCGGGCTCGCCTTTGAGCCTTTTGTAGGTCGAGCAGGCGGTGGCGGCCAGAGGCGGGGTCCAGGGCCACTGGGGCCTGGTACCGATCTGCGAGGACGGCGCCAGCTTGGGTAGGGACGGAAGTGGACTGGCCGACGCGCCACGAATCGCTACCCCTTCGTCGCTGCTCGTGCTGCACGGAGACCCCGGCTCCGTGATGTCGCTGGTACCGCTGCTACTACAATCCCCACAGGACACTGCGACTCCACTGGAAGTTATTAAAACGGCGAACGTTAGGCTAGCTTCAAAATTATGCAGCTCATCGCTTGTATTCGTGAAGTTTAGAAAATAGTCGATTGACTGATGGAAGCAGAAGTTTCATTTATTTAGGATTTTTTCTAGAGGTGGGTGGTATGATAGCTTCAGCGCACGACGAGCGTGTGAACTAATGGCGCCACTGGAAGCTTCCCCCTATGGCGGCACCAACATTTAGTCAAAACATGTATCAACGATCCTCAAAAGCTACGAGAGGTAACTCTGTAATTCTTGTCTATGGCTTATGTTTGCTTGGATATCCACTCAGCCACTGACTTCTGCATATGCGGTACCGATGAAATTCAATTTTTTGAAAGTGGAGAAGAGAAATCAGTCCGAGTAATCATCGGAGGTTTCGCAGGGAGGACAGCACCCGCCCGAGAAAATAAATTAAACCTCGCTTCGCCTTAATACCTTTTAACCCCGAGGCGATAGCAAGAATCAGGGAGCCCAGGCTCATCCGTTTGGTTGCGTTTTCTCGAAAACAGCGATCCAGGAATCGCAGGACGGCCGAGACCTGGAGGGAACCGGTCGCGAAGGACGGAAACAGCCGCGAGGAAATTGCACGCTTACCGAGTAATGGCGTTGCCAGCAGCGTAAACCTAATTCAAGGGTCAGACATTGGCAATTGGCCCATCGTTTCGAAAGCCCGCCAGTGCCACGAGCCGTCGGGCTCGTTCGTCCTCGCCGTTTCGGTGATTTGCGAGACGCGCGAGGCGAAAAACGACGAAACGGCGAGAACGAGGAGAATTAACGATGTAATCGTACCGAAAGGTCTACCATTTTCCCTCTCGAATTTCAGCGAAACTATCGCAAATAGAGAGATGACGTATTCCACCTTTCCTCTGTAGAATTAAATAAGCTTCTAATAACATAAGCACCGTGATACCGATAGCATCGATGGTCATCGAGATAAAAGCGAAATACCATAAGGGTTCTCCTTCTGTTTACACCAGCGACTCCAGCGAATTTAGTATGAGCTATGACTTCAGGCCTTCTGTATGTTAATAAATCAGACATAAAGAACATATACAGCTAGTTTCGAAATAGCGGAAATTAATTCTGGTATTGTTTTTCTTGTTTGGGGGTAGAGGAAGGGGACGATCGGAGTCGCTCGATGGTTTTCGCGGCCAAAGATATTTTCGGAGGCGTATTCGTGTCGGCCTGTCGACGTCACGGGAGAAAGAAAGACACTGACCTTTCCACGTTACGATTCCCTTCCGACACTGCGTTTACGCAACGACGCACTCCGTCGAGCGAGGCCAGTAGAAGGAGAAAAGCGCTCGCCCGTTCATTAAACTCCCCCTCCCTCCGGTTGGCTGAATGATGGTCATCGTGCCATGAAATTCCTCTTTTTATCGATTCTCGAATCTCTTTGGGGCCGCTGGGGCCCCGCTCGAGCCATGATGCGCTCTACCTGGACTTTCTGATCCTTTGCGCGCTCCGAATTGCTTCTTTCCGCTCGAAATCGCGTCTCGCCGCCGCTAGGTGCGGCTAATTTCGACGATGAGTCAAGTTATTTGATTCACCCTCTATAGATCCGTATAATTTTCGGGTCACGTGTCAATATATCTATATTTTACCAAATAATTAGAATTTTTTACGAAATGACACATACACGGTCTGTCGAAAAAGAAACCGAACTTTTGCTATAAAAAGAAAAAAGTACAAGTAAAGTTTCGACACACACGTTTATTTACTCGAAATAATCTCCCTTTGCGTTAATACAGCTTGTAGACCGCGTAAATTAACATTTCGAAGGACCTTTGCGTCTCCTGTTTTGGTAGCCCGTTTAGTACGGCGGTTACAGCGGCCTGAATCTCTGAAACGTTGCTATATTGTGTCCCTTTCATTGGAATTTTCAATTTTGGGAAACGAAAATAATCGCAGGGTGACAGATCAGGCGAGAAGGGTGGATGATCCAAGGTAACAATGCCTTTTTTAGCCAAAAATTGACGATGAATTGCGGCTTTGTGTACAGGTGCATTCTCGTGCAGCAACATCCAACTTCGTCTTCAATGGACTCTCGATCGTTTTTAAATCGAGTGAACCACTCGTAAACTTGTGTACGACTTAGGCATTCATCCCCATACACTTGTTTTAATAACGTAAGCGTTTCGGTAAAAATCTTTTTCAATTTAACGCAGAACTTAATATTAGCGCTCCATTGCGGTATTCCAACAAGCGTCACAAAACGTCCGTTATATTTCAAGTCACACAACGGAATGTGACCGATCGATTCAAATGATACTGTGCACGGTCAACCATTAACGTTCAACCTATCGTCTTTTATTACCTGTAACTAGATGGCGCGGTTAGAAAAAATTTTAGAGCAAAAGTTCGGTTTCTTTTTAGACAGACCGTGTACATCTTAATCGTATAATGTCTCTGAGAATCTGAAATATCAAAGTACATGCCTTGCAAGTAGTGTTCAACGATAGTATTTAATCAGAAGGACTCCCGTTTTATTTTTAATTGGTCAATTTATTCCTAATACCATGGGAAATAAATGTTCACCCAAGAATTCAATTTGCATACCGTGCAAAGGTCGAAGTGTACGACAGGGGGAATTTCGCGCTGTTTTTCCGGGCGGAGCCGCCATCGCGTGTGGCTCCGATCGAGGGATCTACGCGGTGGCGATAGGATCGCGAGGCCAAGTTCCTGTGGATCACGCTACGTCGATTATATATTGTCCTTGCAGGTGGCTCCTCCGCACGGTGGTGTACCGTGGCTTCGTACGATCTCTGTGCTCTTCCATCGAGCACTGCCGCCCTTCTCTCTCCTAAATCCCCTCCTTTTGCTATCTCACTCTCTGCTCTCTTCTCTTATTTTCCCCCGTACCGTTTTCATCGTCGTCGACGTCCATCTTCGTCTCACTATTCCCTGGCTCGCGCCCCCCCCCGCGCGCACTTTTACGTACTACTTACCAAACGAACACGCGTTTCACTCTCGGGATCCCTTGTCTAGTTTACTGTCGCTCGTTTCTACACCTATCCTTTCCCTCCTTTCGGTTTTTGCTTCGTCGAGGAATCGAGTTCGGGCTCGAAAGCAACGCGAAATCGAACGCCTCGTCCTCCCAAGCGGAGAACGCGTGGCGAGACCGCTCGAATTCTTTGAGAGATCTTGCATAGTGTGTGGTAACTTTGAATATAATTATTCGAGTAATTCAAGTATCATATACTATCAAAAAGCAGAAAGATTCGACTAAGAGTCGCTATTCGCGTATTCAACTTCTTGACCTTTCCTCGTCATACATAAGACAACGAAACCAATCGTGGCACTTGTGAGCACCGCAGCAAACGGTTCCTTCTTCTCGTGTTTAATTTAAACCGAGAATTTGCCTGGTATTAAAAAATGTCCATCCTGCACCAACTGGAGCACCCCTAACGAGGGGCGCCTGGACGCATCGTTTGGTTCCACGCAAAGTCGGCCCTGGCTGCTCCCTCCGCCCTCGAATTCTATCCCATTCTCCAACGAAGCCTCACTCTTTCGTCTCCGTCGTTAAGTCTCTTAGAATTCCGCTCCAGCCCTCGCTCTGTCCCTCTTCGGCAACCCCGGGAAATCTATCCTTCTCGTTCCTCAGCGTCCTTCGTTCTCCACCCTTCTCGCTCGTTTTCCACTCTGCTCATAGTTTCTCGCTCCGTTCCTCTCTTGACCCTCCCGTTTTCCTCTCGCCAGGCCCCTCGCAATACCTAAACGCCTGTCCTCTTCCCTCACAATCCCTCCCCTCTCTCTCTCTCGACGAGCGTTCCGTGCTATCCTCTCCCTGTCTCCTCCTCCACTGGTGCGTTCCCCGTCTTTATCAACAGGCCATGAGCTCCACAGCCCAGTCTAGCGATGGGAATGATGCCCTCGCACGCCTCGACTGAGTACTCATCCTGCTCCGAATTCATTTACTTCCAAGCAAATGAGCTCAAGTCTCGATTTCTTTATGTATTAATTATCCTCGTGACAAAACTAATCGAAAAGTCCTTTTGCATTTTGCAATCCGAGGCTTTGTTACGGAGATACAAGCAGTTAAAGTTCTCCCGGAGAAACGTGTGCGGAGCAACGCGATCAGCTGATCAGGTTGCAAAATGGCGCGCGCCTGGAGCCACACCATTAAACTTTAACTACTCTGTATCTAGGCAACGCGGCTTCCAATTACAAAATGGTAAAGGGCATTTCGATTTCTTTTCTCGCGTAGAATTGATCCCGAGAAAAAGGAATATAATCAGATGATCGGTTAAATGTGGTAGACTTGTCTTTCGTCGAACGTTCTTCGAATCAGTCCCATCGCTAGCGTGTGGCGCGCACCCTCTCTGTCTCTGTCGCTCATGCGCGGGGAAAACAGCGTTCGCGCAAGTATCTCCGTCCTCCTCGAACGCTCGACGGCGGAAATGCATGCTCACCTAAATACCTCGAGTTATATTCACAGCTAGAACCCACTGCCGTAGCCGATAGACAACGAGCGACAGTCGCGCGAGTACGAGCCCTTCCGTAAGCCTCTAGCCAAACTGAACGTCTTCCATTGTAACTGGTTCGCGATTCGACCTCGATACTGCCACCAGATTTTTCCATAGAAGCTCTTCCAAAAGAAGCATTGGGATTTTGTTCTCGAATAACGAAGTACTATATACCTGTCTTTCAAGTAAAAATAAAAATCTCGAAGCCTCTTTGGAGAATCCTCTGTTATCCAATTTAATCAGCCAGAGTCGAGCAACGCCTGCAGAATCTGATATTACCTCCTCGCGAGAAGCTTTCGTCATGGATTTGAGATCCAGTCAGGATTATCGAGGGGTTTTTAGGGGTTGCCATGAAAAATTTAACGGAACTGATGGAAATCGACCGATGCGATGGGCGGTTCCGCCGTCTTTCCCGGAACACAGAAGGAATTGCCGAATGGCGGGGGTGTCTGTCAAGATGGCCGTCGAGCGTGTCGCTGGGGGTTGACCTTTTCCTGGAATAGGAGAT